ACGCACTAGTCAGCTTAGGCATCCAAAATTCATTCAGATGACCTCGGTTCACCCTGGTCTCAGGCTGGTTCTCATTAGGAAGCGAAAGATTTTTGCCAGAAGAAGCACATTGGTATGCTTTGCACAATTTCTTGAACAGCCAGCCCATTATGCTGGTCCGCGAAAACAAAGCAGACCGAAAGCAGGCAGCCCCACTCTGCTGGAATCTTTAAGCAGCTTTTAGGTCACCTACCTGAATCGCAGGTGCATCCCCTCAGTTTCAGTGCATGTCGTACAGGATGTGGCTGATGTGGTGCCAAGTATGACGTCCCCTGATACTGCAGTATATTCAGCAATAGCTTTAGTCATGCCTATTTTTATCTGTACCTGCTCTCGGTTTTCAAAGCTCTGAATACATGCATGTAATTCAGCTGCAATATATACGTTTGCATGTACGTTGTGCTCCTGAGAGTTGAAGGGTTATGATGCAGTTTTGCTTTTAAAGTCAAGTTAAATTAGTTGCATTTTAGCTGGTGAGCAGTGTGCAAATTCTACACTTCTCAGATGCTTGTGTCAGTAAGAGCAAGATATGTACTGTGCCTGTTCTCAAGTTCTAATGGAGGATTAACTACCTGCATTTTCTTCTGTGTTGAACTTCTGGCTTGTTTCCATGCTCTGTTTTTGCAGTTCATGGGCACATGGATTTGAATGTGGAGGAGGGAAAAAAGCCAAACCAGAAACCTATGTAATTCTTCCAAGTGGAATGAATATGCTTATCCTTTCTTACTCTGCATATTTCATTCTATAATTTCTTTCTGGGTTTGCTGGTTACCAGGAGTGCCAAGAAGGCATGAAAGGTACTGATACTCCAGCCTCAATCATTGGAAAGGGGTTGATAGTGTGGCATTTTGGTCAGAATATCAGTGAGACTGGGGAAACCTTTGTTCAAATCCTCCTTTAGCCTTTTAGCTTATAGGTAAACCTTGAGCCAGGCACCTAACCTGTATTGCAGGATTGTTGTGAGAATACGCAGGGTGAAGGGGAAAGTGCATGTAATGCCTGGGTTCCTTAGAGGAAGAGTAGTATAAAAATATTTTATACCTATATTGTTATGTTCCTGTTCACTGAACATTTTATTCACTTACTGCTTCGGTTTCTGAGAGTTTGAGCAGGTTATTGATGCTTTCAATCATGAGGGCTAGAAGCTTGTTTTCACATCAAAATTGAGGTTCTCAGAATGTTGAAACAACCCTTACAAAAACATGTTCCATGGTTCTCTCCTCTGCACCTGCGGAATCACAGCAAATGGCCCTGGATGATGTGACACATGCTTCATATTTGGCTTCATTAACATACCTGAAAACAACAAATTATTGTAGTTAAGGACATTGTGGAGGAAGGAGGCCACATCAATTGCAGCCTCATCCAGTAAAAGCTTTTAGGAGCAGATGCAAAATGCTCGCCTGAGCACACAAGCTGCCAACAGTTATTTTTGTGCCATTTCCCTGAAAGAGAAATAATTGGTACACTATTTGTAATATGTTTTCCTTAACAAAAGGTGCTAGCTGAAAGCCCCTCATCTTGTTGCCTGTTTGTCCTAATTGCACCCCCACCGCATATCCCCAGTGGCCGGTGTGCAAGAGTGTGCTTTCCGGCACAGGGAATAGAACACTGCTTTCTCTTGGGACTCTGGGCACCTCTCCGGTGACCTAGTTTCGTTGTCAGAGCGCTGCAAAGTTCAGCACGAGTGGCGGTCTGGGATACTGAGGCCTGGTCTTCTGGATGGCCGAAACCATGCGTCTGCTGCACCTTCTCACATTCGAGGAGCTGCTCAGTCGGTATTTACTGGGTGTTGGGTTTTCCCGGTCCCTTGGCAAGATGAGTCAGTTCATTGAACTACCACAGTGTGAATGCGCCCACCCAGGCTAAGCTGGGCCATCTGTGTGGACTGCAGATGGGCAAGTATGTTCTTTCTAGGGCGTGACATGGTGGTAGTCATGGGACACATCCTGAGCAGCTGCAGGGAGGGGATTTGGACTGGGGCCATGACACAGGGGAGAGAGAGGAGGCATTGATGTTTTAGCCTCCAGCTGATAGCAGTTGAGGCTGTGTGGAGTGAGGTTCAGGAGACCTGGGTTTGAATCCACATTCAGCCTTGAAGCTATTGAAGCCACATTTACTCCCTTGGCCTAGCCTGTGTGGCAGGGTTTTTGTGAGAGTAAAGCAGCAACCTCCACTCCACATCCGGCCACATCCTCCACCTCCAGCAACCTCCATGCCAGAAGTGCTTCCCCCTCCCTGAGACTGCTGTTAGCTTCCATGAGGAAAACATAAGGGGCCACCTTTGCTCCCTTCTGTTTTTTCCATGATGGTTCAAGGCAGCTTAGGGGTGGAGGAAGGACAGTTAAACTGGAGACTTGGTGTAGGGGCAGAGGATGAAGCCTCCTCTCCACTTCATGAATTTTATAACATTTGGGATCATTTAGCTTATTACAAATGGTAACTAAGGGGAGACATGGCAGAGGTGTACAACATTATAGGTGGAGTGGAGAAAGTGGATAGGCAGACATTTTATTTCCTTGTCTCCCAATACATCCCATGAAGCCGATTGGTGGGAGAGTCAACACAGATAACAGGAAGTGCTTCACACAATCCATGAACTATGTAATTCATTTCCCCATGAAGTAGTGATGGCCTTCAACCTGTAGGGCTTCAAAATGGGATTGGAGAGGCAAAGCTATCAATGCTACTTTTCCCAATTGGCTCTGTGCTACTTCCCCCATTACAGGGAGTGTGCCTGTGCACACCAGTTGCTGGGGGAATACAGACAGGGGGTGGTTTGCACTCAGGTCCTGTTTGCGGGTTCAAATGGACAGCTGGTTGGACACAGTGTGGATCGTTGGTCTGATCCATCATGACTCTTGCATTTGTCTGTCTCAGTTCTGATCCCACTCGACTCTGCTTGGCTGCTTATCGAGCCAATACGTGAGGAGCTGCAATCATGGAACTCACATGTCATGGCTGGGTTTGGTCCTGCGTCGAATTCAAATATTCCACAGTGGCTTCGTGCCCTTCATCCATCCATTCTAGTCCCTGCCCTGACAAAGTGGCATAGACAGACAACTAATGAAAAGGGCAGGTGTCTGTTGCTATGCAGAGACTGTTCTGGGTGACTCGCTTTTGGAAGCTCGCAAATGTTTTGGAGTTCAGTTCCCATAAGCCCCAGCCAATGTGGCCAGTGGGCAGGGATTATGGGAAATGTAGTGCAAACCATCAGGTAGCACCCTATTATTTGCTTTGTGAATGTGAGACAAAAGCTGCAATTCTGCGCAGATGTACTGTTCCTGGAATCAGCTTGTATAACGTAGTAGAAGAGAAGGAAGGAATATAACAGACATATCAAACTTATATGAATATAAAGACATTAAAAAATTGAAGTCCAAACTATGACAGAGGGGGACAGTATCGCTGCTCAAATGATTTCACACTGCTGCTGTTCAGCTGTCCAGTGTTCTTATATCGTTCTTTCACATACTTCTCCTTTAAATAAATGTGAGAAAGACATGTCAGCATTAGCAATGACCCTTCTGCTTCAGAAACAGTATGTTCGCCTCAAATGTGAACTGCAGAATTGCAATGGTAATGTGTAATGTTATTAGCTGGTTAATCACTTTGGGTTATTGTTTCCAGTTTCCCCTCAGCTTTTTTTGGGCAAGTAATTTGAATTCTAACGTGATTTGGCATTTTCCCTTTAGTGTAATAATGTGACGCTCATTTGCTACTTCCCCCACACTGTAAGGACTCATCCTATCAGAGGTTGACAGTTATGCCGTATTACTACATTTCATTCTGTGTGGAATGAGGCTAATCTGCTAATGCTTCCATATCCAGGACCTTACAGAGCATCAAAGTGTCAGCTCTGAGGTGTATTATTAGTTGCTTGAATGTTCAACCTCAAAGAAAATCTGCTTCGGGCTAGCAAGAAAAATTCAGAATGGAAGAACAAAAGTTTCTGCATTCTTAGGAGTTCTCTGTACATTTGCCCCTGTGTGCGAGCTGTCTGAGCATGAAGATGCTGGACCAAAGAAGATGATTGTGTGAAATGGTGACTGTGTGTCACAGCATTGTGTTCTGAAACAGAAACAGAATGAGGAAGGTTAGCCCTCCTGCCTCCCTTGGTGGTCTTTATGAAAGCTGCACCCCAGACTCTTCCCTCGAAAAGGAAGTGTCCATTGGCACCGTTAACTGGCAGAGGGAAGACGTAAGTGGAAGATTTTCCACTCAAGTGCGCATGGGGATTTTTAATTTTAAAAACCCTCTCAAGGTAGCCCAGTCCCAATCTGCTCTGAACCCCCCAGAGGCACTCACTGTTATGAAACTCAACTGTGCAGTTCATACATCCTCCAGTTTGGTTCTCAGCAGATGTTACTGTCCAAATGCCACATGGTTAATGCTGTCCTGCTTATGCAGCATCTCCATTAACCATGTTTACTTCCATGGAACCCAAATCAACTACCAAACTTAGCTCAGGTGATTTCTTTCAGCTAGATTTGCGTAAGCTTTGTATCCTCTTGCCAAGAGGTGGTCAGAATCCAGGGCAGGTGTGTGGCAACATTGTGTGGTGAAATGGTTACCTGTATGAAAGTTACTTTAATTTTAATCTTTCAGGCCTTCTGCCAGCAGAACCTCTGTGTAAAGTCTCTGTATTGTGCTTAAATGGTAGTCCCAAACGTTGGGAGGTTGAGAAAGGTTGATTTGTGAGCTTATAGCAGGGTGGATTGTCTGATACTCCACAATGCAGATCACACCCCCATAATGAGTAATGAAGTGATGTTTCTGAGTGCCGGTTTGATGTGCAATTCCATGCCTGTTTAAGGCAGAAAAAAATTCAACATTCCACAACCAGAGAGACAAATCCTCTCTGATTTCACCAGGACAGGATTGGAACTTTTAACACTGAATTCTTCATTCCAGTGTGTAACTGGGAAACCTAAACTATGTGCTTGTTTGTTCTTTCCTAGGGCCGTCATGTTAAAACAGGCCAGCTTGCAGCTATTAAAGTCATGGACGTCACCGGGGTAATGTATCCTTCTTTTCTTGCCATCTTAATTATGTACCTGTGCAATTAAAGTGTTAGGAAATCCACTCAAGGATGTGAAACTATCCATAAGTAATTTAAGCCCCGATTTGATTTCCATTAGTGAGAAAAGAACACCCATGGAAAAAAGGAACACTGTGAGAACTGCAGTATATCCTGATGGCGCTTTTCATTGCAAGGCAAGGCTAGGACTGAGGCAAGCTCTGCAGCAGAGATACAGCATCCACAGAGAACCTTCAGCCTATCTCTGACTTGCTGCTGCGCACAATACCTATATATTACCTGCAGCATCAGAGGCATTGTGCTTCCTGACCCAACTCATTGGGGAATGTGAACAGGAGGCTGCTGTTGAGCTCCTTGTGGACTTCTTGTAGGCAGCGGTTTGGCTAGTGTGGGAAGAGAATGCTGGACTTAAAAGGCCTTTGGTCTGTTTCAGAACAGCTTTTATGTTCTTAAACTTTCTTTACTTTCCAAAGGATCGGTATAGCAAGCTGTCCTGGAGAGCCAGCCTTCACAAGCTAACTGCAGGCCATTTTTCTCCTCCTTTCTTTTGGTCTCTCTTTCTCCCGTCTCTGTCCCATATCCCACTGCTCACATCAGCTCCCACATGCTTCAGAATTCAACATTTTTTGTGTGCTTTCTTTGAAACCTGTGTTCTGGCTTACAAAAGAAGCACAGTTGTATTCAGGAAGTGCTACAGATTTAGGAAGTTTGGATTCAGATCCCCCTTGCCCAGAGAGATCGATCAAGAAATGTCTTTCCTTTCTTCCATCGGCTAATGAAAACCAACCATCTTTACCAATCTTGCCCATCACGTCACATTTATGGGCTTTTGCTGATATTTGCTGAATGGTTTGCATATGAAAATGGTTTCAACCTTCTTTTGATTACATGTTTGTATATTTTTATATGAAGCATGTTGAGTGTTAAGTACTACTGCAGGAATATGATCCAAGAATAAGAATTCAAATATGTACCTTTGCCATGTTGTGATGCATGATGGATATGCCCAGACGTTCTCAAGTCTGGGTGGCTTTCTCAAGTACTTTAAGTTTCTGTGCTTTGGGGGTTATTTTTGTCCGTTGCTTGGTCTTATGCTGGATATATCACTCCTTATTAAAAGCTGCCTTTCTAAAAGTGGGACTGAGGTGGGAGAAGCATCATTCATCTTAAGAAGTAACATGGAACTGAACCTGCTGTAAGGTATCTGAGAGAGAGTACCATGCTTTGTGGAAAATCCAGCAAAAATTGTCAATGAGATGAAGAGGGGAATAGACCTTAAGATATAAAAGGATGTGATAGAACTACACCTTCTCAAAATTGGTGGAGCAGTTTAACACCTACAAAATAAACTGCAGATGGTCTTGTTTTCCAGTAATAGGCAATTGTGTTTGCTTTGACTGGCAAATCTATTACCCAAATTGAGAGGGATGAGTGGCCATTTTAAGCCTACTTCTTAGAAGTTTTCTTTACCCAGCCCTTTTTGATGGATGGCTCAGCAAAATCCAATCAAATGCAAAATGGAGACTTGAGAGCTCACTGAAACAAAGGAAGCTAGTCCCTTGTACTCCTTTACTCCTTTCTTGTTACTAGTCCTCATTGTTACAGCAATAATTTTAGATTCTGTAATGTACTTAAGATTCCTTTTTTCGATGAGCAGGTGTACAGACTTCATTTATAAAGTACATAACTAACATATCTCCTCCCTGGTTCAACTGGCCATCCCAGCTATAAAGTATTTAAAAGTGGGGAGCAAGGGTGCTGGTTGCAGCTTCAGCAAGTGGCATCCCCCTCTCTGCTCTGCCTAGATGCTGATGCTGGATGTGCTGCCACTTCACGATCTTGGACCTGCATGGAGCTTCAGTCCAAGCTGTGCTGCTAGTCCTCAGTGTTTCAGTTTAGTGAAATGCAACCTTCAAGAGGCTGGAATTCATTAAATCAAGAAATGTTGCTAGGGCTAAGTCATGTTTGTTTGTTTATTTATTTATTTATTAAAACATTTCTATGCCGCCCCTTGCCGAAGCCTCGGGGCAGCTCACAGCACAAATAAAATACAATAAAATACAAAAATAACAATATAAAATTAACAATATAAAATAACAATATAAAAGAAGTTGCCCTGGCCAGATAAATACGCAAATATTGTTAACAATTAAAATGACGTTTAAATAAAAAGGTCTTCGCCTGGTGCCGAAAAACAAATAACGACGGCGCCAGGTGGACCTCTCTGGGGAGCGCATTCCATAGATTGGGCGCCAATAGTATGAAAAATATGTGTCACAGCTCTGTGTGAGGAAGCCTGTGAATGACTGAACCCTTTGGATTTGCACCTCACAAGAACCAGCAACGCAGGAGTGTGCTCATTGAACCATTGTTTAGTTGGAAAATGTCTTAGAGAAAATTCATAAATATAGTCACTGTGGAATTTACATGACAAAGAGAACAGGGATTTTCAAGGTATTAAGCTTGTTATTCTTTTAATAGGAGAAAAAACAAACAAACTATACGCTTGCCAAAAAGCCACAGGGGAAGCTAGTATAAAATTACTAAAGCTTTTGGAAACATAAGCATTTTGGCGGTTACTTAATAAGAGTCTTAATTCAGTAAAAATCACACCATTTTTAAGCCTCTTGGTTACATTTCTTGCCTGGAAATACACTGTGAGCTTGCAGAAGGAGTTTGTTTTCAAAATACAATGAAATAATAGATTTTAAGCCAGCTCCTTTCAGTATGTCACACACAGCAACTTCTTTCGCTCTCTCCCTCTCTCACACACCCTCCCCTCCTCTTTAAACCCATCATCCACATACTGTAGTGTTCCGTCTCCCTAAGCTTTCTGGATTTTTCTGCTACACTCCTGTTTGGTCTGTGGCGACCATTTTTCATTCGGGCTGAGATGGAGAGGCCTTGATTTGCTGCCGCCTGTACATGTGTTCCTAACTGGCCCTCAGATAAATGCTATATTTAAATGTGAGTGTGAAAACCTCATTGCTTTCAGAATAAACAGCAGATTTTCCCCAAACCAGATTTCATCTGCATCAAAGTGCTGTTCTGATTTATAGCTCCAGATGATATCAGCCAGTGGTTTGTGTAGATGCCAAAAGAGGACCCCCCCCACACACACACAATCCAAACCCATCTGGACAACCCAGAAGGAAATCATAGATACTGCAATCTGCTTGGAGGGCCTTCATACCAATATAGTGGAATACAAGTTCAGTAAATACAATCATAGCCACTCATAAGATTGTAGGCATCCTGCTAGCAAATAATCAGAGGAATGCCCACCATTCCCTGGAAACGAGCTTCAGGCTTGAGAAGGCCCTAAACAAAGTGTCCTCGGGTGGTTCTTCCCTGGGGGTGGTCTCTGTTGTTGCTATGTGCTGTTAAGTCGTCTCTGACTTCTGGTGACCCCGTGCAGGAATGCCCTCCACAGTGGCCCTGCTCAGGTGATGTAGCTTCCTTTATGGAATCGAGTCATCCCGTAGTTGGTCCTCCTCTTCTTCTGCCTCCTCTTTCCCTCACATGAATGCCCCCCACCCACTGCCAGCTTATTTCTCACAATACCCCAGAGAGATATGAAATCAGAGGCATGATGGGAAATATAGCCGGTACTTAGACTTGGCTACCATAGGCTGCTTGGAGTGCTAGTCGGGAACAAAATGAAAAGGCACAAGTCAAGTCTCGGTTGGGACCCTGGCAGTTGCCCAAGGATGCTGGATGCCCTGGTGGGATGCTCCTTCAGGGCACAATCCTATGCACATGTAGGTGGAAAAGGGTCCACAGCTCCCAGCCGTTAGAATGCTGTTGATGCATTTGCTTATGCCTATTCTGTGCTGTGACATTCGATGATGATTCTTGTATGTGAAGGAACACCAAAGGTTTGACATGTCAGAGAGAAATTGCATATTACGTGACGCCACCCAGGCGCCTTGCAACAGCGCCGGTTCAGCAGAGCGTCATCACTTGCTGATGAGGGCAGCAATGCGCTCGTGTGCTCCTTCAGTTCTCCTCCCAGTCAGATTCTTATAGGCAGTAAGTAAAGATGGGGGAGGAGGGCGTTGAAGCTGTATTTTTTCAGTCCTTTCCATTTTTGTCCGTGACATTTTTCTTAAGCTCCTTTTTCATTTCCTGACCCTTCTGTGAATTATCTTTCAAAGATGACTAGTGTGCTATCCCTCCATGTAATGTTTCATAAGAAAAATTGTGCTTCTCTGTACACATTATGGGACAACTGGTCAGACTACTCAGTTCTTTTCAGAAAAGCTTGTGTGTGCATTTTAGAAGGGCACTAGGGTATCTCCCCATTTTCTGGTCTATAAAACAAAGTGAAACTGGTATCAACCAGATGGGTATTAGGGCAGAGGGGGAAGGAAGAGGCAGTTAAAACAAGAGAAAGAAAGACAACAGGTTTTCCTGTTCATGGTAGAACCAGTTTGGTGTCAGTACCAACACCAGCTCTACCTTTGCTGCAGTTTTCAGTGCTGTGGAATTAGTTGCTGAAGCTAAATGCAGAACTATATATATATTTTTAAAGCAACATACAAATAATCTGTAAAATAGAATGAAAAGAAAGGTTGAAAAAGAAGAATTGGGGGGGGGGGGAGAGAAAGTTTATAAAAGGTGGAAGAAATTGGGAGACACCACTAAGGGTTACAGAAAGTGGAAGAAACAAAGATATCAGAGGCATATGGAGCAAAGCAGAAAAATATGCCAGAAAAAGGTTAATATTAAAGAAGTAGCCATACTAACCTTCAAGAAGTAACACACTAAATCTTTTCATAAGGAAGAAATCTGGGCAGCAGTCATGCAGACATTCCACCCAGTATGAGAACCAAATCAGTGGGAAGGTGATTGGGACTGTGCTTATTGGCCACATGGCCCAATAGCCGTGTGTTAGGCATTAATACCAGAAGGATCCCAAGTGATCCTTTTTTACCGATGCTGTATCTATGACCAAGTGGGCACATGGGCAGTTAGTGTGCCACATTTGTAAATGTCAATCCTCATTTATTTGTGGGTAGGGCTTAGTATCTGAAGTTCAAACCTTCAGGGTGGAAGCAGAATCCATGTGGTTGTGGAATAAATCATATTTCTCCTGTAGAGCAAGACCACAAAGGTCAGTTTGAACTGAGTTTGTGCAAATCACCTTTTTCCCAGTTTAGAAAGAATGGCAAACTATGCTCTACCACTAAACAGGAAGTGAGAAGAATCATGGAAGTACACATCACACTAAGTCAACTCACTGAGTCTGTTGCTGAAATCTCTGTCATCCAAATCCAGCATTCAGTCCCTGTAGCCCCGTGTCAGCTCTTGGTGCGAACATCAGAGCCACAGCTCAACTCATAGTATGCTTAAGTTAGTCTTTCCCAGATTGGTCCCCTCCAGAAGTTTTGGAATACAGCCCCTGGTATCCTGGCCTTTGGTATGGCTGACTGGGAATTATTGGAGTTGCAGCCCAGTACACCTGGAGGACACCAGCCTGGGGAAGACTGACTTGTACCGTCTTGTATCAGTCCACACAATTATTTTCAGCCATGGCTACTTATATCCGCTGTCCTAGTTTGTGCTACATGGGGCCTGTTCCATGACTCCACCCTACCTGCAGATTGTTGGGATGGTTAAGGAACCACCCACAGTGTGCAAGCAGTTCATGGGTTCTGGATAGCTTGTTAAGCACGCCAGCAACCCAAATTCCCTGGGTGGATATATACGTACCAGAAGCCATGATGGCTTAGTTAAGCCACCATGAATAAAAAGTATTATGTGAACCAAATCATTGTCTTGATTCAAAGGGTTCTTTTTTCTAATGAAAGTCGTTTTTCTCTTGAAGGATGCAATCTGGTGTGCTTAACTCCATCGTATAATCTAGCCATTGGCTATAAACGTTATTATTGAGCTAGTTGACTAAAAAGAAAATGAAAAATATGTGTTAGTCTATGTTTGTTCTGTAGTAAAAAGAGAAGCAGGCCAAAGGAAAGGGGCAAAATTAAAAAAGAATCAATCATAAATATGATAAAAAGAAGAAATGTCTAATAATAAGCCAGTTGTTGATTTGGTGACACTGATTATTTTTCTTTTTATCCAGGATGAAGAGGAGGAGATTAAGCAAGAAATTAACATGCTAAAGAAATATTCTCATCACCGAAATATTGCAACTTATTATGGTGCTTTCATTAAAAAGAACCCCCCAGGAATGGATGATCAGCTCTGGGTACGCAGTGTCCTAATTTTTACCAAAGTGTTTGTGTTGGTTTTTTGTTTCATTCTCTGTGGTTTGTTGTAGCTTATCTGCATGCATATGCCAGCTTCCTTTGCTGTTTCATGGAAAGCTGTGGAGAGCTGATAGTTCCTTTGCCTTCTGTAGTTTGTGTGTGTGTGTGTGTGTGTGTGTGTGTGTGTGAAATTGCCCGTATGCCCTAAATTATCTGTATATCTCTATAAGAAAGACAACACTTGTACATCTTCTGATGTAATTCAGCAACAGATAGAGTATCCTTCTGTCAGGATTCAGTAAATATACTTTGTGTTAGAAATTTGGAAGCTTGATGGGAAAGGCATTAAATGTTAAAAGACATCAGGCTACACCTCAGAATGGCAGTCCAAAAAACCCTCATCTCTAATCTAATCATTGGGGTCTCCAGTTTGGCTCATGTGGGTTCCAGTGCACCCACAACTCCCAGAAGGTTCCCTGTCTTTTCTGTATATACTTTTATTTAAGATTTTTTAAAAATTAAGTCTGCCATACTGCAAAGTGAAGTTCCACCCTCAGACACCATCTGTATTTGGGTTCAACAGAATGGTTTTGTTGTATGGAACTCAGACTCCCACCTCTGCTTTATGCTTAGCCTCTTGGGGAAGTTCCTTTTCTTTTAGTCTCACCAGTCTGTCTTCTGAGAAATGGGTGCTTGCAATGAGGCTTTTTTATTAAAAGGCACCCCCTGCCCCCCATCCCCATAGCAGCCACTTCATGAGAACACCCATAACAGTCTCTGAAAACTCAGAAAATGCCCACTGGCTCCAAAAAGCTGGGCACCCCTGCTGGAGCAGGATTTAGCCTTTGTCTTGAAATCAATATGTGGTGCATTTTGCCATTCAGGCTGCTCACTGTTGCCTGCTGCTAGCAGGGCAGGTGAAAGCCCAGTATATGGATTTGGGGACATGGGGTAAGCTGTGTGGGAGATTACAGAAAGGGAATTGTACAATTGCTTGCTGTTACTGGCAGCAGTTCTGTGTTTCTCGGTCATGAATCAATCGGAAGCTGAGTGACAAACATTTTCAATAAATAAATATTATACATTTCTTGTAAAGTTTAGTGAGATGGCCAGAACTGGGTCAAAATGAGTGCCATTTCTTGTAGTCCAAACCCTGCGTGAGGTTCAAGGTCAGTGTCAGAGGTAGGATGGCCAGACAACTACTGAGGGCCCCCGCTCCAGCTGGGACCCATTGGCAAGGACTCATGGATGAGGACCCACCAGAGCTGCTCATTCACTTCATGATTGTAGTCGTCTTGTTCGTCTTAATTTTGCTCTGGCCTTGGCAGTTATGGTGACGAGAACCGGGAGCAGTGGGACACTGGATGAGGAAAACGTGTGCTTTTTAAAATGCATGTTTCTCTGATGAGGGCAGCATGCTTGCATGCAGGAATGCCGACGAGGCAAGCGAGCTGAAATTCTGTTAGAAATCCGTGCCTGTCATGGAGCTCCAGCGGTGCATGTTCACCCATCCCTGTTGGCTGCAGACTCACCGAATTCCCACTGGGCCATCAAGACTGTGGGGATGGCAGTGACCGTAATGGAAAGTTCAGAGTGCTGTGGATGAAGTCTTGCTAGCTTCTGAGCCAGCGGAGAGCCAGATTGCACATTCAGAAAGTGTTCTCTGAGCCACTGTAGAGAACTGCATGTTGTCTTATGACCCACTCTACTAAATCACTACATTTTAGATGCCTGATTGAATTAGAACTTGTGAAAATTCCATCCTTCCTGTGCTGGAGATAAATGTTTGTTTATTTCACCCCGTTGTCTTGGTTGGAATAAAACTCTTTGCTGATAACGCCCAAGTAATTCTCTTTATCGATGCTCTGGGAGGTGATATGGGGAGGGGGTAGCCGGCGCTCTTTCAATACAGATTAAGATCTTTTTGAAGCAAGGAAGATTTCTGACATATTGTGTTGCCATCGTGCTTGGCATCCACCTTCTTACTGCCACTGCACACATTGCTCAATAACAGGAAAAGCCAATTGATGCCTTCAGCTCAGTCGCTTTCCTCAAATCAGAATGCTAGTCTAATTGTTCTCCTGGCAACCCAGGTGCGGTGCAAAGAGAATTGGGGAGGGCGCAGGAGGGAAGGAGCCTTGAAAAGCAATTCAGGATCTTTAGATTTCATGCTGTGCTCTTTTGAAAATGTCTCTTAAAAAGCACCATGCTCAAATGGATGTAAAGAGACAATTGGCTGGAGTGCAGGAGAGAGCCTTCTCTGTGACCACACCAAAGCTGTGGAACTGCCCGCCTTGGGTAATTTATTCCTCTCTCTTGTGACTTCTGGTGTGTGCCCAAGACTTGTTTGATCATTCATTCAATATACAGGACTAAGGGCTAAAGGGTAGACTTTTTCTTTTCTTTTTTTAAGAAACTGATCCTAGTTAGGACTTAAAAAAAAAAAAAAAGGCAGTTGCCTCTCATATTTCTAACATTTGTTTGGCTTTTGTTTGTTGTATTTCCTTCCTTCCTTCCTTCCTTCCTTCCTTCCTTCCTTCCTTCCTTCCTTCCTTCCCAGGAGCCCAAGGTAACATACTCAAACTTCCTTGTCTGTCTTTTATCTTTATATGAGGCCTGCTAGACTGAGAAACAGTGACTGACCTAAAGCCACCTAGTGAGCTTCATGCCCAAGCAGGGACTAGAACTTGGGTCTCCCAAATCCCAGTCCAGGACTCTAGCTGCTACACCAGCTGTCTTTCTAAAATAACATGACCTTGAATAACTTGACCAGAGGCACGAAAACTTATGCTTTCAACATATTGTTCCTGGTACCCTAAATATGTGATTATGAATGTCCTCCTTCATGGGTTCTTATGGTTTGTAAGCCACCTGGTTATTTATTTTTATCATTATTATTTTTACATATAAGCCTCCTGATTTCAGTTGAAGGTGGGATATAATTTTTTTAAATAGAAAGAAAGCAGTGTTGAATGACCTGTTTGTACGATCTGCCAGGCTTCAGGGAACTGGTTAGAGGCCCGGTTGGAATTTGTTGCTATGCAAACTGACACCCATAACAACTTCTTAATAAAGTTGGCACTGCTTGGCAGTGAGGTCTTGATAGTTATGGAGTGAGAGTGTACTTGCAGATTGCTTATGCATTAGGTGCAAAATCTAAAAGATATGTGGGAATATTCTCATTTTTTACAACATTAAAGCATTTCCCCACTTTTTCCTTAAAAGAGAAACAGGCAGCAGCCTTCTAGAAACCACACTTTAGTTAAAATATGGCAAGATTACCAACAGGTAGACAGAATTCCTTCTGGGACTGAATTTGGCTTAGCCTTCATGTATGACCAAAAGAATCAAGATGCCCAATGCAGTACCCTCCAGTATTTCCAAAGGAGTGGTGGCCAAAACTTTTTGTATCATTTTTGTTTTGATAAAGGTATGAAATGCATGCAGCTTTGGAAGCTACACTTGGCTTCAACAAAAGCAGACCACCTATCTAAATACGTTTGTGTCTATATGCCACCTTCATATCTTGAAAGCGTTGTAAGGTCTTCAATCCATTGCATTATAGGAAGTGAATGTTTATCTTTCAATTTTGTAGGGTCAGTCTTTTAGCTATCACAAGGTTCCAGAGGATACAATTCTTTCATTTGTGAATTTACATGAAGCAGGTAAACATTTCTTAAAAGGATGAATATCAGTGAATATTAAAAACTGTTTCAGTACAAAATTTTAAAAGAAGCTGATTCTGGACATTGCCAAAACAGATGTTCAAGCATTTGCTGGATACGGTGCTTGCAATTAGCTAAATTCGGCATTCCCTTTTTAAAGATACATTGTGGAGTCCAATAGATATGAAACAAACATTTCTGCCAAAGTGGCAATTTACTGATTGGGCATTTTCTGGTAGTGCTCACAGCAATTTTTGAAATTTGCAAATGTGCCCACAGTTCCAAAAGGGTTGGGGACCCCTGCTCTAAAGAACTGAGAGATGTGTCGCTTTGCCAGGATGCAAGAGGGACAGAGCAGGTGCTGTGTTTTCAGGCCTAAATTGATTTAAAATGCTCAGATTTGGCTTTCATTGTTGTCAAAGTGATGTGGGGCACTCTGATCCCAGTATGGTCTCACTTCTCTTTTGCCCTCTTTATTTCTTCTCTCCATTTCTGCTTCACCTCACCTTCCACCTTCTTCCTCCAAGTGGAGGCAGAGATTAACACTTAAAATATTCTTCAAAGAAGAGGAAAGCTGCAAGGGTTTATGTTTATTAAACTCTGGAAAGGCATGAAAGCTGTAGGGTTTGAATAGTTGCTGGTAGTGTTTCATATGCAGGAAGGAAAAAAGGGAAGGGCATAGGATGCTGTTGTGTGCACCCAATGAACATTAATAACATTCATCTAGGCTGGTGCCTTCCAGATGTTTTGGACTTCAGCTCTCATCTACCCCAGCCAGTGAGTTCAGTGAACAGCATGTGGAGAAGTGTTGTCTAAACACCACCCAGAGGACACCAGGTCAGGAAAGTACTATGATGTAGACTTGCGGATTAGAGTGTAAAGAAACAGAATATCGTGAAGTCTTGTGTTATAAAGTAGGCATGTATTTATTTCCATTGCATTGCAGAGATTAATTCCTCCACCCTTGATATCAAGCTAGCTTTCCACTCCACCAGCCACCTCGCTGTTTTATTACATGCCGAGGTGGGAATCACAGTCCTGCAGATCAAGTCCCTCCCTCCCGAGGGATCAAGTGACAGCCCCTGTTTTTGCTTGTTCTCCCACCATTCTGAAAGGTCAAAATGTTCTTAATTACTGGCATTTAGAGCACTCAGCTAAAATATCCTGGTATTTCTGGCATTTTGACCCCCATTATTTGTGCCTTGGGTCTTGGCCACTTTGGTCCCACTGCAATGCAGGTCCGAAGAGCTTTTCTGAAAATGAATTTGTCCCTTGGGCTGAAAGAGCTTTCACATGCCAGTTCTGTCGTAATGGATCTACAATAATGGATCAAG